CCTTAGAACTTTAGACGTGTGTAATGTTTCACTTGTTATAACTAATGTTTTTGGGAAATCAAACAAAATTTATGATTAATTTAAAATTTTATTTTCAAGCAATAACCACTTGTAAAAAAACCCACACTTCGTCACAAGAACAATGCAAAATTTTGTGATTATTTTTTTCAAATATATGATTATTACACACATAACGTTTGTTTAAATTTATGAAATTTACCAAATCATTGTATTTTGGACATTTGTATTCTTCAATATTAAAACTTCTATTATTCGTCGTCAACATTTTTAAAAATTGTTTTTCTGTTGAACCACCTTTGTATGCGAGTACTATAACTAATGTTTTTGGGAAATCAAACAAAATTTATGATTAATTTAAAATTTTATTTTCAAGCAATAACCACTTGTAAAAAACCCACAATTCGTCACAAGAACAATGTAAAATTTTGTGATACTTTTTTTGCAAATATATGATTATTAAACACAAAACCTTTTATTTAAATTTATGTCATTTACCAAATCATTGTATTTTGGACATTTGTATTCTTCCATATTAAAAATTCTATCATTCGTCGTCAACATTTTTAAAAATTGTTTTTCTGTTGAACCACCTTTTTATGCGAGTACTATAACTAATGTTTTTGGGAAATCAAACAAAATTTATGATTAATTTAAAATTTTATTTTCAAGCAATAACCACTTGTAAAAAACACACACTTCGTCACAAGAACAATGTAAAATTTTGTGATTATTTTTTGCAAATATATGACTATTAAACACAAAACCTTTTTTTAAATTTATGACATATACCAAATCATTGTATTTTGGACATTTGTATTCTTCAATATTAAAAATTCTATCATTCGTCGTCAACATTTTTAAAAATTGTTTTTCTGTTGAACCACCTTTGTATGTGAGTACTATAACTAATATTTTTGGGAAATCAAACAAAATTTATGATTAATTTAAAATTTTATTTTCAAGCAATAACCAATTTTAAAAAACCTACACTTCGTCACAAGAACAATGTAAAATTTTGTGATTATTTTTTGCAAATATGTGATTATTACACACATAACATTTGTTTAAATTTATAACATTTACCGAATCATTGTATTTTGGACATTTGTATTCTTCAATATTAAAAATTCTATCATTCGTCGTCAACATTTTTAAAAAATGTTTTTTCTGTTGAACCACCTTTGTATGCGATCACTTCGTCTTTGCACAAATTTCTAATATACCAATTTAATATGGGAATGATGTTCTCTTGTTTGAAGGTACATTTTAATTCTTCGGTCACATCAAAATATGGAATGCCGTGCACGTGTGTTTCACAATAACGAACAGTTTTTTTGTCTATTGGCGACAAATAATTGAAAGGATAACTTGGCCGAAACAAATAATGATCGGTAAACGCATCATTTTTATTAGATAGTTTTACGTCTAGAATAGCCATTTCTCTACATTGAAAATGTTTATGAGGATATGTAATGTAAAATCCGTCCATGTCGATGATGTATCTAATATTTTTTAGATTTTGTGTTATTTTGAACCAATATGTTAAAAGTATTTACACGTGACTAAAAATATGTTTGTTCCAACAAACTTCACATAACAATGCTTCATTACTTCCCATCATCCCATTTCTTCCTTCTGCTATTGTCTTCCTGTAATTTAAGTAAACAGAATCACATTCACTAATGATCAACTAATGACTGTCATTGTTAAAAAAGTATTTTTTAACTTTTTCACTTTCTGCTATTCTCCTTGTATTTATGGCTAGGAAATGTCCGCGGCGCTGCCTCAATACGTGTTGGCGAACCTCACATGCCTTCGAAATTTTCTCAGACATGCAGGTTTCCTCACGATGTTTTCCTTCACCGCCGAGCATGTGGTAAATCAGCAAATAAAATTGCAATTAACAATTTAATTGGTGCCGGCGGGGATCGAACCCGGGTCGCGTACTGTAAAATTTACAGCTTGCGCTAGCCATCTGAGCTACCTCGGCTTAATCATATAAACACATAATAATTAAATATAATTTGTTAATACTAAATCATACACACGTAAGAAAGTAACAGAAAGAAAAGTAAGTTTGTCAATAGAATAAACACTTACATCCATGGCCTTTGATGCGTTGAAGTAACACAAATGTAGTATTGATAGATCCACTGCGGTTAAACGACCATACACTAACTCCATGACTGCAGTTGCTTGGTCTTATATAGTACCAGTAAGTAATAATTCTAATCTAAAGAATTTCTGCAGTGGAATTGATAGTAACTTTATGCGTCCACAAGCTTATCTCACATTCTGTTGCTTATCTCAGCATTACTTCGTGTTGCGTCTTGTTCAGTGTATTGATGACTCAAATACGTTTTGTATAACACAAAAGAATGCAATTTAATATTTAGAAATTACTATAATTGATCATTCCTATGTTAGTCATTGAGTAGATTGTACTGTAATAATCTACTAATAGCAGTAATATCATGGATACACTAGATGTTCAACAACATCTGAAAAAGATTCACCCCAGTCTAGAAAATAATGTTTATGCTGCCAATAGACTGCCCTTGTACACCCACGTACTAACGTATATAATTGCAATTTGGATACGGATGATAAACCAGGGTCACATTGGGTAGCTTTATATATCGATACGAATGACGTCGGTCAATATTTTGATTCATACGGACGAGCACCTGTACGATATCATCTAGAGTTTTTAAAAAGGAATTGTAAAAGATGGAACTGGAATGTTGATAGGATTCAGAATGAGTGGACTTCAGTTTGTGGCGAATTGCTTAATGTATTTGCTATATAAGTTTCAGGTATGTTCAATGCATAATTTTACGAGTATATTCACAGGGAACACATTGTACAACGATATTTTAGTGGATGAGATGATATGCACATCTCCGGAACCGTGCATCCTACGCAAAAATGGACCGCAGATTCGTGATCAGAGCATGCCTAAATTTTTTTTAGGATCGTGAGTTGACGAACGTTGTACCACTTCTGACTCAGTGAGCCAGAACTGGTACTAACTAACTACTAACAATTCCTTAGAACACTCCCTATGGTAGATACGATTGAAAACGCAAAGGGATGCAACATCCCAACGCAGCGCCAGTGAATCGAGCCGATCAGAAAGAACTCGGTCAAGTGGAAGGATGCGGTCAAGTGGAAGGAGCTGGCACTGTGGTGCCCCGGCCCAGAGATGAGAACATGTTTCTGCCTTTACACTGTAAGGGCTGTTTTACATTATTTTAGGGTCTCATTGCGTTATGCGATTAGAAGAGTACATTTGAAAAACCTTTGCCGCTGTGTAGTAGCGTCGTAAGAAAATCCACTACCGCTTATCCTCACATGAGTGTCTTAAGAGATGACAGAGAGAAGATGGGCAACAAGAATCTTAACGTTAACAAGAATAGCAATTCAAAGAAATAAAAAAACTGCGGTAGCCAATCCGCCGTGGCAACTACGAGGCAATTTATGGAAGAGTCCTTTGTTCAGCAGTGGACTTATGTCAGGCTGTAATGATGATGATGATGATGGTTTCTAGAACTCGAATGAGAGTGATTTAGTAATTGTATTGCCTTTCCAATAGGCGGATACAGCTTGTTTCAGTATAGTTAGTGTCATTGTCTACAAAACGGTAAACACGTGAACGAAATGTCGAAGAGATGCGATGATACAACTAATTCAGTGAATTAACATGTATCTCATATTATTTTTGGTTTATTTATTTCATATTACATATTTTGAACAGAATCGCGCGTATTTCCTGATGTTATTCGTCCACCTTGACGACAAAATAAGATAAACACTCACGCCTGTCACCTAAAAGGATAGGCAGAGACTACAGACTTCCATTTGGCACGATCCTGACACACCTCTCTCGCCTCCTTCACATCCGTACACCTACGCGTACATGCTCGTCGGTTAAGGGTACTCCTAATTTGGCCCGTTTTCAATAAATCGCCAATTTGGTCGATAAATTTTCGCCTAGGACGTCCCTTTCCGACTCTGCTATTCACTTCTGCAACATAAATTTTCTTTGTCACTCTTTCCTCCTTCATTATTTCCACATGACTAAACCACCGAAGCATTCCTTTCTTAATCCTGGTCACAACATCATCTTGCAAACCACACTCTTCTCTTATTACACAATTTCTTACCCTGTCGTTCAGATTCAGCCCTAACATACTCCTTAACGACCGCATTTCTACTGCGTTGATTCTGCCCTCGTGCTTCTTCTGCCACACCCAACTTTCACTACTATACGTTAAAGTAGGGACCAACACAGCATTGTGAATTGCCATACGTGCCTTTTTTGACACATTTTGACTCTGCACAATAGAGTGCAGGGCCCCATTTACTCTATTTCCCGCATTCATTCGTCGTTCTATATCCTTATCATATCTCCCATCCCTGCTAACACTGTACCGTATTTAGAGTATTTCTTTTTTATACTCTAACACCATACTGGAAGCAGTGTAAACGTCTATTAGAAAAACAACAAAACCAATAAAGCTCACTTTTATAGTGTTACTAACGTTCTCTCCTAATATATTCAGGTAATGTATTACAACATCAATTTCAGATGCAATTAAAGTTTTTTTTTAATTTGATTAGCTTAAATCTGCGCTCTTCAAACTAGGTAAAAGAAATTATTTTACTATGCGGATCTTAGATAATTATTTTTAATATAATAAATTTGGTGGCGACTGACATACATACATCGAGTTTGCAGTTTTGACAAAATGTTGATTCAAGGCAAGTCAGTTCTCCTCGGACATTAATTTGGAGTCAGATAAATACTAACCAACAACGCACCATAAAAGAGGTGACCCCGACCCCGACGGAACACAGTGATAGTGGTGTACAAAGTTTTAAATTAGGGGGCGGCTCAAAATAAACTACCGAGGGGGACGCCTCAGTAAGCTATCTGAGTATAGTATACATTTAATCCCTTGAGTGAAAATAGAATGATGACACCAGTTGCGCCATCAGTTTCCACGTCACCGACAGCACCATTAACCGTTGGATTGGCGCTTGGAGAGATAGCCAAACTCAACTTCAGGCTGTCTGAGTTGGAGACGTCACGTGGAAGGAGTATGCAGCATAGCAACAACCCTGGATACAGCGCCAGCCGGCGCAGGAGCGTCTCGAGAGGCGCTCGCCGCACACCATAAAGCACTGACTGAATTTATTACTATCATTTCCGGTTCCAAAACAAGGCAGCGAAGTGCGTCCAACCCTGCAACTGGAAGGATAAGTCGGGAAACTGAGTGAGGTGCGATCTTCATCGGTGGGAGGCTGCCTGCAACCAGGGAATCACCGGTTATCAGTAACTGATCGCACATCAGGTATGCAGTTACTTCTAGACACTGGTGCTAATATTACAGTGATTCCGCGACGCAGTAAATGTGTTAATAGTGATGTGATTAATTACGTGCTTTACGCAGCAAATGGAACACAGATTAAAAGTTATGACGAAACAACGTTAGTTTTAGATCTTAAGTTACGTAGAGCTCTCATATAGACTTCTGTAGTTTGTGATGTAAAACAGCCCATTTTAGGGGCAGACTTTTTGAAATACAATAAGTTAATTGTTGATTTAGATGACCAAGTATTCATTGATAAGGTCACGAATTTGAATGTCTCAGGTATTTTAATTAATTTTAATGACTCGTCATTTAAAACGGTAGATGTATTATTTACAGAAGAGGCAATTCTAGAACTAAAAAGTGGATAGGCAAGCAGATGATGGTTCACATACCGAAAATTCGGGAACAACCACCGTCTTCCTTACTTACTAAATACTTCCTTAATTTGAATTTCGAATTAACATGTTATAAATTTAAGTACATATTCATTATAGATTGTAACTTTACATTCCAGCGAACCGTCGCCGCCGGCGTCGTGTAGTTCTGCGAACTCATGACGCGGTATAGATTATAATTATAGTACCAACACACGGTCAGTTAAAATGATCAGTTTAACTGACATACACCCAAAAACTGATCGTGAGTGTGAAATCTTAAGTCGAAATTTTTAACTGATGGCACTTCACGGAGTTTTCCGGGCGCACCGTAATCCGCTGTCTTCAGTTCTTTTTAATTACTGTTAAGTACCTACTTTCTTAGTAGCTACTTACATTATTTCTATGCTATTTACATTTTTCTTATTTTATATATTTAGAGAATTTCGTTTGACGGAGGATGAAGACTAAGATAACTGTGATGATGCCACCTTCCTTATGATTGACTCAGAAGATCAGGATATTAGTGATACTACGTACCTAGATGACTGTGATGATATCAGCTAGCTGATGGTGGACCCCGAAGATGGATTTAAAAGATGTTAGTGACGTGACTTCATAAAATTTCGTGTTTGGACTTATTTGAAAGGTACTCATAAAGACCTAGATGACTGTGATGATTTCATCTTCCTTATGGTGGAATCTGAAGGTAAGTTTAGGATCTTAGTGACGGCACTACATAGAAACATTGTGCTTGGACTCATTTGAAAGCGCTCTAATAGACCCAGGTAACTGTGATAATCTCACATTCCTGATGACGGACTCAATATCTGGGTAAAGGATCTCAGTTACGCCACTACGTAGAACCATCGTTTTTAGACTCATTTAAATACCAAGGTGCCTGTGACGATCTCACCTACCTGATGAAAGTGGACTCCGTGAGTATAGGATCTCAGTGACAGCACTAAACAGGATAATCGTATTTGACCTCATTTTAAAGAGCTCATAAAGACCTAGGTGACAGTTACGATCTCACCTTTCTGATGGTGCAATCCGAAGGTGCGTATAGGGTCTCAGTGACGGCATTATTTTTATAATTTTTATATTTTCAATATTTTAAAGGAGTCAGGCAATTTTATCTGTGACACTTCTTAACTAAAAATTCACATTTATGTCCCCTTCCCCCCAAACGGGGGAGAAAACACAAGAAAAATAAAGAAAACCAAACTAAATATAGTGTACCTGTATGTGTTATGTAACTTAATACAATACGAAAAATTTATTATTTTATAAAACTCAACATATTTGATTATCAAACAAATCGAATAACTCTTTTATTGGTTTTAGATTTGTTTATTCTATCTTTTTTGTATAATTTTGTGCTGGGGCCACACTAACGAGAAATGCCGTTAATTATCGCGTTGATCGATGTTGAATGTAGGTGTGGCCATGACTCAACGCGTTAATTTGACAATGGCATTAACAATGCCGTTTGCCGTTTGGCGATAACTCGAGTGGCGGTAGGTTTTAGATTCCTCGGTAGTTTCATTCGTTAACTTTTATAAATTAATACAATTATATATCCGAGTATAATATAATAGTTGTTAATAGATACATTGTGGCAACAGAATTACATCTTTATATTATGTACAATTAAATTTTATTTTGCATTACAACTTCTGAACTATTATTAGTACACGCAATATGACAGAATATTTATTTGGAATCAGATAAATATTAACCAACAAAACAACCATAAAATAGATTTCCGCAAAGTAACGCCTGAATTTTTCAATAATTTTAGAAGAAACATCTAACGGACTACATCGCGCAACGAATAGCGAATGTCTAGTGATACCATGCCTTGCCTTAAAGCTTCATCATCATCATCATTACAGTTACTTAAGTCCACTTCTGAACAAAGTGTGGACTTAACAATCAAAACATCTCATCATGACAATTTATAGTTTATTCTAAATAAATCACAAAATATATATAATTAACCCTCGTCCTCTGTTCTTTATTACAAAGAAAATGTAACCCAATGCCTCCAAACTTAATTACAAGCGATCCATTACGCCTTATTCGGGTTCAATAAATTGCTTGCCCTATATTTTACTTCCCTTATACGACTCTTCCGAAAGGCAAAAGATACGGAAATCTTTCCTCTTTTTCCTAAGGGAAATTAAAACTATCTTGGTGACAACTGATTTAGACCAGAAGTGAATCTAAAAGTATTTTAACTTTTTTGCGTTAATTCAACAACGCTTGATGCAGATATACCTAAGTAAATGTGTTTTAAGTTAGACTTCTATGTACAATACTTTTTCTTATATAGAATAAGGGTGACACACGAGCACACACCTGATGGTAAGTGGATGCTGTGGCCCACAGACATCTACATTTATCCTCGATTAAGAATCAAAACGCAGATGCGTTGTCACCCCTTAGGACTAAGATGGAATGCATCGTTTCCAGTAAAAAGAGTCTCCGGATCTCTACACTAACTGGTATTCTGTGAGAGCGTGGTTCTTCTCTGGTCGAGCCGACCCATTTGTGCTACAACCATAATATACTCGTAGCTGCGGCGTGGCTCTACCACGTATGAAATACTACTACGGTACTAGTACTAATACATTGCGCACTGAGTTATGGTAATTTCTCTGTTACTTATTTAATGTAATATACACAGAAGTCTTTGTTTTAGGAATTAGTTTAATATAACCTTCCCGTTTACAACACACGTAAAATACACAGACCGGTGACGGACAGCTGCGTCAAAGTTACGAAGCGTCTGGTACTACGATCATCAACCCGCCTCGCTACAACGACATAAGCTCAAGTCCTGCAGTTCTACGGACTGAAGAAAAACTTAGGGACCAATTAAATTGCCGTTTTCTCATACTGGTTGGTATGAAGTTATCTTCCATTCGAACACCAATTCCAAATTCAAATAATGTCATTATTTATCATAGCATTGGTATTAAAATTCGGTTGTTTCTTTGGTAATGGACTCGTACGATTAGTAGGGACTTATGCCATTTTCAAATAAAATTTTTTGGAAGATTTTGACGACAGCTTAACCTAGCAAACAGTCAGTGTCGATGATATCTCCAGGCGCTAAAACAAACACAAAACGATGAAACCCCAAATTTAAATTAGTTTTTGCCACTTTTGTTAATTTAATTTTTTTCTATAATACCGCTTTCTGCTGCTAATTCAAATTAAAAGTTCACATTGAAAGTGTACGATCTACATCAAATCATTCACTTGCCAAGTTCGTACAAAGATGGTCGTAGTTGATCTAGATAGATATTCCCGGTAGTGCAACCCTAATATAAATATGACCGTAACGAACCTTCCCGTAAACCACTACTGCCCTATACTATCTTGAGGGTCGCTTGTGTAAGCAAAGAGTACCAAGAATGAAACTATATGAGGCTACTGATTGTATAGTACGCGAGGGTAGTGGTCATTCGGTTAATATGGTCACTTTCTTATAACTCAAAAACTTCAGCCTTGTTTGCATAGATAATTCTGTGATACGATAGCTTTTCATCAGTCAATCAAATAGTAAAAGGTCAAAAGGGCTCTGCTTTATCGACGCTGTTTAAACAGTTGACATTATAGTTAATATTTTAGTCGATTTTAGTATTGTGTAGTTAGCTTTTTTTAAGTCAATTTTTCGAAGTGTACCTAATTATTGCCAAAGCCGGTTTGCTATTTTTTTTTTCTTAATATAATAGCTATAGAATACGACTTAATGTTTTTGACTCTGTCCTCCTCATAGTTTTAGTTTTATAGGCCGCAAGGCTTAAATTATAATATTACCCTCATGCTTATGTATATATGTATACTTTTAATAAGGCCTACAATAACTGTCAACTAAATTAGCGATAGTAGTATGTAGGAAAGATCCTCCTTGCCTATCTCGCAAAAGAAAAAGTAAAGCTGTAGTAGTAATGCTTAGAGGTCGTTTTCTTTGTATAATGTTTATTTCTTACAGTTTACAATAACATTACAAAGTTTAAATATGTTTAAAGTAACAAAGTTAAGAATAACATGCAGCTAGTTTTAAGTCATTTTTTTTTTGGAGTTGTAACGAAATTTTTACTAATCGAAGTGCATTTTATAAGTTGGTCGACTGTTACTCGTTAACTTGTTAATCATACTTAGCTGTGATAGTTTTCCTTTTAACTTTATTATATCGTTCTTATCGTTCTTAAAACAGTGATTTAGTTGATAGAGGGGGGGGGACATATGACTTGCTGAAAAATACCAGATTAAAGCCAAATATTTCGCAAACGGACCTCTGAATCGTAAAAATGTTGTTGCATACCCGCAATGTTTTCGAAAATCCTATCCAACGATATCACACACGATAGAATGGACGGCTAAAAAAAATCATATTCCCTATACCTATATAGGAGG